CTTGTTGAGCCCTGGTGACTATCAGGTGGCTTTCTTGAACCTTTGAATTGAAACAGACTTTGTTCCTGCTCTTCCATAAGTGCCACAGGAAGTTTGCTGTCTGGGCAATATGACCTGATCCCTGGTTCCTGTGAGTAGCCTCTTGTAATTTGCCCCACTATCTTTCGAAGTTCCACTGGTGCTCGAGGCATCCATCCCACTGAATTGGGAATAGCCTCCAGCTATCCTGGACATTCCTGCAAAAAAAGAATAAGTGCTCAATTGTATCAATGGTATCAATGGCAGAGATTGTGGCAGAGGTTATGGGAAAGATTGTGGCAGATATTATGGGAAAGATTATGGCAGATTATGACAGACATTATGGCTAAAATCTGTATATATTTCTTACCTAGAATAGAAAATCAGTTACAATAGCTGTATATTAGATCAATCAATCAAGTGTATATAGGGGTTTACCAAAAATAGATTGTACAGGAATTCTTATTTAATAGAAAGGACCAGGAAGAGGAAAGGGGCCGATTCCAGTCAATTTACTCAAATTTTGACATGGTATCAGAGCCTACCTTTTGAATCTATAAGATATTTTGAGTGTTTTTTTTTCTATAGCTTTTTGGGTTGATTTCTATTCAACATTCTGATTTTGATATTTCTTAGTTTATCAATCTGTGATTTCGGATTTGCATTTGAGTTTTGTTAAGAATGGCTGCTGAGAATTCTTTTGGAAGACAATCTGCAGAGACTTTGGGTATCAGACTTACAGGGAAGAATTATACAACATGGGAATTTCAGTTTAGAATGTTTCTGAAAGGGAAGGAGCTTTGGGGTCACATTGATGGGTCTTCTACTACTTCTGGAACTGAGAAAGAAATAAGTCAATGGGAGACAAATGATTCACGAATTATTTCATGGATTTTAGCATCCATTGAACCTCATATGGTGAACAGCTTACGTTCATTTAATACTGCAAAGGAGATATGGAATTTTCTGAAACGCATATATCATCAACACAACACTGCAAGACGATTTCAGCTTGAACTTGATATCAGTAAGTTCAGTCAAGGTAATCTCTCTATTGAGCAATATTATTTTGAATTTCTAAATCTGTGGGGTGAATATTCTGATATCATCTACTCTGAGATACCTAAGGAGGCCTTAGCAAGCTTTCAAAAAGTTCATCAAGTTAGCATGCGTGATCAGTTTTTGATGAAACTGAGGCCAGAATTTGAGACTGCTCGGGGTGGATTGCTGAATCGAAATCCAGTTCCTTCTTTGGATGTGTGTGTTGGTGAATTGTTACGGGAAGAACAAAGATTGGCTACACAGTCAATTCTAAGTGCAGCTGGTGGGACATCAGAGGTTGTCAATGTTGCTTATGCTGCACAAGGAAGGAATAGAGGAAAGGGACAAATGCAGTGCTACAGCTGCAAGGAGTTTGGCCATATTGCTCGCAATTGTGGTAAGAAATTCTGCAATTACTGTAAGCAAAGTGGACATATTCTCAAGGAATGTCCTACACGTCCGGAAAACAGGCGAGCCCAAGCTTTTCAAGCTACTGTTCCAGATGCTCCTGTTATTGGTCCTACATCTACAACCAGCCAGACTGTTATGACCCCAGAAATGGTCCAGCAGATGATTCTTACTGCATTTTCTGCCCTTGGTCTTCAAGGTCAAGGTAAGCCAGCTTCATCTACTTGGTTTATCGACTTAGGAGCCACCAATCATATGACTGGTTCATCTGATTTTTTACAAAATTTGCGGCCATATACTGGTCGCCAAAATATTCAGATTGCTAATGGTAGTAATCTTCCAATTACAACTATTGGTGATATTGGACATTCTTTTCGCCATGTATTTGTTGCTCCTAAGTTGTCTACTAATTTAATCTCTGTTGGACAGCTAGTGGAGAATCATTGTGATGTACATTTCTCTCGTGGTGGTTGTCTTGTGCAGGACCAGATGTCGGGGAAGGTAATCGCGAAGGGGCCCAGAGTGGGAAGATTATTTCCATTGCAATTTACTGTTCCTAGAACTTTATCTTTAGCCTCTATGATTGTTGAAAATAAGGCTGAAATTTGGCATAGACGATTGGGCCATCCAAATAATGTCATTTTATCTGATTTAATAAAGCGTGGTTTTCTTGGTGCTAAAAATCAAGGTTTTACTCATGCATCATCTCTTGATTGTTCTGTGTGTAAATTGGGAAAGAGTAAGATGTTACCTTTTCCTACTTCTGTTGGTTGTGCTAGTGCATGCTTTGAGATAATACATAGTGGTGTTTGGGATATTACTCCTGTCATTTCACATGCGCAGTATAAATACTTTGTGACATTCATTGATGACTATAGTCGGTTCACATGGATATATTTTCTGCGCACTAAAGCTGAGGTGTTTACTGTTTTTCAAACCTTTGTGGCTTACATTGAGACACAATCTTCCACTTGTATTAAGATCTTACGGTCTGATAATGGTAGGGAATATGTGTCACATGACTTCCAAGCCTACTTGCAACGCAAAGGGATCATATCTCAGAGATCATGTCCTTATACCCCTCAACAAAATGGGGTGGCTGAACGCAAAAACCGCCATTTGTTGGATATGGTTCGAACATTACTCTTGCAATCTTCTGTACCCCCTAGATTTTGGGTTGAAGCTTTGTCAACTGCTGTGTATTTGATTAATCGATTGCCTTCTCAACAATTGGATTTTGATTCTCCTTATTATCATCTTTTTGGTGTACATCCTAATTATCACATGCTACACACATTTGGTTGTGTTTGTTTTGTTCACCTACCACCTCATGAGCGCTACAAGCTTGCAGCTCAGTCAGTTCGGTGTGCCTTTATGGGCTATAGCACCACTCAAAAAGGATTCTTATGTTATGATGCTGTTGCTAATCGTTTGCGTGTCTCTCGACATGTCATTTTCTTTGAGCATGAGTACTATTTTCAGCAGCACACTTTTTCTTCCAACAATGTTGTTCTTCCTAGCTTTGATGATATCTCTCCACCAATTCAACGATTTAGACCTGGCATTGTCTATCAACGTCGACGACTTCCATCATTAGAAATCCTTCCCGATCCTGCTCCACTGCCTACCACTTCTGAGGATTCTGTGACTCTACGACGATCTTCCCGTATCAGCAAGCCTCCTGATAGGTATGGTTTCTCTGCCGCTTTAGTTGACACTGCAGTACCTTCCTCTTATTCTCAAGCAATTAAACATGCATGTTGGGTAAAAGCTATGGACGAAGAACTTCAAGCTCTTTTGGAGAATCATACTTGGGACATCGTACCTTGTCCTACTGGTGTAAAATCCATTGGCTGTAAATGGGTCTATTCCATTAAATTACGGTCCGATGGAACGCTTGATAGACATAAAGCGAGATTGGTGGCCTTTGGTAATCGACAGGAATATAGAATCAATTATGAGGAGACATTTGCTCCTGTAGCAAAGATGACTACGGTACGACTTGTTCTTGCCATTGCTGCTTCTAAGGGATGGTCACTGCGACAGATGGACGTTAAGAATGCCTTTTTACATGGAGATCTGAAAGAAGACATTTATATGACTCCACCACCAGGGTTATTCTCCACACCTTCAGGTGATGTTTGTAAGTTGAAACGATCACTCTATGGTTTGAAACAAGCTCCACGTGCTTGGTTTGATAAATTTCGTTCCGCACTTCTTGGTTTCTCCTTTGTCCAAAGCCAGTATGATTCCTCTTTGTTTCTTTGCAAGACATCTAAAGGCATTGTCATACTTCTTGTATATGTTGATGATATTGTTATTATCGGGACTGATTCTGCATTGATTTCTCAACTTCAAGACCATCTTCAACGTTGTTTCCATATGAAAGATCTGGGTTCTTTACAGTATTTTTTAGGTCTTGAGGTATATTCTAATTCCACCGGTATTTTCTTACACCAGCACAAATACATTCGGGAGTTAATTGCTTTGGCTGGTCTTTAAGATGGTCGATCCGTTGATATCCCTTTGGAAGTGAATGTTAAATATCGTCATGATGAAGGTGATCTTATCTCTGATCCGTCTTTATATCGACAGCTGGTGGGTAGTCTAAACTACCTGACTATTACTCGCCCTGATATCTCTTTTACTGTTCAACAAGTTAGTCAGTTTATGCAAGCACCTCGGCACCTTCATTTGGCAGCTGTTCGCCGCATTGTTCGCTATTTGAAAAGCACTTCTTCTCTTGGTCTTTTCTTTCCAGCAAACTCTCCTATTCGCCTGATTGCATATAGTGATGCTGATTGGGCTGGTTGTTCTGATACTAGACGTTCAGTTACTGGTTGGTGCATATTCCTTGGTACTTCTCTCGTTTCCTGGAAAAGCAAGAAGCAAGACAGGGTGTCTAAGTCTTCTACGGAGTCTGAGTATCGTGCTATGTCTTCTGCATGCTCTGAAATTGTTTGGCTCCGTGGATTGTTAGGTGAGCTCAGGTTTCCTCAAAAAGGGTCTACACCGCTCCATGCCGACAACACTAGTGCAATTCAAATTGCTGCTAATCCAGTATTTCACGAGCGTACCAAACACATTGAAGTGGATTGTCACTCTATTCGTGAATCATATGATGCTCAGGTCATCTTTCTTCCGCATATCCCCACTGATCTCCAGATTGCGGATGTGTTTACTAAAGCTCTCTCCAAAAATCGTCATCACTTTCTTGTTGACAAATTGATGCTTGTTGATCAGCCAGCATCAATTTGAGGGGGGATATCAATGGTATCAATGGCAGAGATTGTGGCAGAGGTTATGGGAAAGATTGTGGCAGATTATATGGCAGATTATATGGCAGAGGTTATGGGAAAGATTGTGGCAGATATTATGGGAAAGATTATGGCAGATTATGACAGACATTATGGCTAAAATCTGTATATATTTCTTACCTAGAATAGAAAATCAGTTACAATAGCCGTATATTAGGTCAATCAATCAAGTGTATATAGGGGTTTACCAAAAATAGATTGTACAGGAATTCTTATTTAATAGAAAGGGCCAGGAAGAGGAAAGGGGCCGATTCCAGTCAATTTACTCAAATTTTGACAAATTGTTTCTACATCTTCTCCACATCTTCGGCAAACATTGCATCCTTTCCCTATCCATGTGGCAATTGCTTCATTTGTTGGAAGGGTCTGATTGAGGCATTTCCAGATGAAGTGCTTAATCTTATGCTTCAAGTTGAGTCCCCAAAGTCTTTTCCAGATCATTTCTTTACTTGGCTCTGTGCTTTGTCCACCCTGATCCAACTTGCTGGGTCTATGGTTCTTTGCCATTTCCTTTAAAAGAGAGTAGCCTGTCTTGACTGAGTAGATCTCCGACCTTGTGAGATTCCATCTTATTCTGTCTCGGCCATCATAGAGGCTTAAAGGGATGCTTTGAATAGCTACACTCTCTTCTTCAAAAATAGCCTATTTATGATACCTGGATCCCACTGTTGTCCCATGATCAGCTGCTTCACCGTGATGATTTCACAGTTGGTAGGTATGGTTGATTGAATTTTACCTCCTGTCAAGTTTGAAACCCATCTATCCTCCCAGATGTTGATTGTTTCCCCGTTTCCCACATTCTTCCTACTTCCCTCTTCTATAAGGCCTATAGAGCTGTGTATACTTTGCCAAATCCATGAATCCCCTGCTGCCTTTGTAGCCTGTAAAATAGAAGAATTTGGAAAATATTTAGCTTTCATGATCTTACTAACAAGCAAGTTTGGTTTTGTGATGAACTTCCAAACTTGCTTTGCTAGTAAGGCCATGTTGAAATCCTCGAGGTCCCTAAAATCCAATCCTCCTCTTTCTTTGATATTTGTCAAATGGGACCAGCTCATCCAATGGATTTTCCTCTTGTTGCCTTCGCTACCCCACCAGTAGTTTGCCATGATGGAACTTAACTCCTTGCATAATCCCTTTGGCAATTTAAAAACTGACATAGTATAAGCTGGCATGGCCATTGCTACTGACTTCAGGAGGACTTCTTTTCCTGCTTAGTTCAACAATCTTCCTTCCCAACCTTGAATTTTCTTTTTGACACTTTCCCGGATGAAGCTCATAATCTGATTTTTTGACCGTCCTATAACAAGGGGAAGTCCCAAGTATTTACCCTGAGGGCCTGAGCAACTACTTTGATCCCCTCCAGCTCCCTCATTATGTCTTCCTACACCTGTCTGTTTGTGTTCTTGCTGAAAAGGGCCGTTGATTTCTCCAAGTTGATTTGTTGTCCTAATGCGGTTTCATAGACTTTCGGGATCCTCTTTATTTCCTTTATCTCACCTACATTTGCTTTACAAAAAATCAAGGAATCGCCAGCAAACAAAAGGTGGGACAGACTTGGAGCGTTCCTAGCCAGCTTCAGACCGGAGATTCTTTTGTTTTTCAAGGCTTGGTTAAAGAGACTACAGAGGCCTTCAGCACAGATAATGAAAAGGTAAGGGGATAAGGGGTCCCTTGTCTAATGCCCCTAGAAGGAACTACATAGCCTTTTTTGTCACCATTGATATTGAAAGAAAATGAAACTGAATTTAAGCAAGGGATAATCCATTTAATCAAAATAGGGCAGAAGCCCATTTTAGCCATCACCGCAGCAATAAAGTTCCACTTCACTCTATCATAGGCTTTTGACATGTCTAATTTCAAGGCCATATAGCCATCTTTACCTCGTCTCTTGTTATTTAGGTTGTAAACACCAAATTTTAAATAATTTGTATGTTGCATCTATTTCATGATTTTTGTTTTAGATTGTTTGCATTTTAGTTCATTATTGTTTGTTTTGCACTTTTAGTTGTTATTTTATTTTAGTTTTATTCATTTTACCTTTTTAGTTTGTCTAGTTCATTTGCTATTTATTTTTATTTGTCATATTAGTTTTATTCATTTTTTAGTTTTAGTTTTTAGTTTTTAGTTTTGTTTTTTTTAAGTTTTTAAGTTTAGCGTAGAGTTTCTAGAAAAAGGAAAGAAAAAAGAAAAAGAAAAACATTCAAAAAAATATGTTTTAATTATTTTTGTTTTATTCATTGCTTTCTTGGAAAAAATGAAAAAAACGATGAAAATGGAAAATGAAAAAGAGAAAATTGGAAATTGCATTTTTTTTGTTGTTTCTAGTTTATTTATTTTTCATCCAATATTGATTAAAGTGTTTTTTGTTATTTTTAATTTTGTTTCAAAAAAAAAAAATGAGGACCGCGGCATGCAAGCTGCGTTTTGGTCGCAGCTTGCAAGGGAACTTTGAGGCAGCTCCTTCAGCTGCAAATAGAGAAGAAATGACAGAGGATTTAGGGTGTTTGATTCCAGTATATAAAGAAAGAGATGGCAAGAAAAGAGAGAGAGGGTTGACAGCCGCAAAGAGGGAGAAAGATTGAGAGGGTGAGGAAAAAAAAACAGAGGATCAACAAAGGCTTTTCAGAAGAAAAAGAAGGCAGCTTTGTGAGGTTAGAAGTAAGATAAAGGGGAGATTGGGGGGAGAACAGCAAAAGAAAGACACGAAAAGAATAGACGACGGCTGAGAGTTTTGAGGGAAACGAAAAGGGAGAGACGGGAACAAGGGGAAGAAACCAGAGAAAAGGATTAGCGGCGTGTGAGGTTACTGGGGGAGGGGAAATCAGAGAAAGAAAACCGCAAGAGTGGTGGGCTAGATTAGAACTGAAAGGCAAGAATAGAGGGGAGGAGGAGGCAAAGAAGAAACAGAGGAACGACATCAGAGAAGTAAAGCTTCAATCATCAACTACGTCGGCGACCAAGTTTTTCTTTCTTACGGTAAGAACTCTTTCTTTTTCCTGGGATTTAAGTTTTAGTATTCAGATATCATTTTTGGTTTTTATGAGAGGAGTTTTGGTCAGTTCTAGTTGATCGAAGTTGGTAAGCATGTCTTCCATCGTCTGTGGGTTGCCGCTTGCTTCATCTTGTATTATTCTTGTGTTTATACCCCAAAGTTGGGATCTTTTGCTGTTTATATGCATGTCCATTACCTTAATGCTTAGGATTGTTTGGTGCTGTTGTTAGATTTTGTTATTAGGTTGTGGTTAGCGGCAAGATGTTAACTTTAAACAGAAAAAATGACATTTTTCATGGCTAGCTCATTCGAGAAGGCATCTGGGTTCATATGTAGCAGAAAATTCCCATGTTTGTGTTGTTATTCTTGTTTGTATGCTGAAATCTTAAGGTTTCATGTCGGCAAAAAAAATGGGAAAGAATGTTTGGGGGTCTTGTTGCCTGAGTTTAGATGGTTTCAACTGAGTTTGTTTGCGCATAAATTTGCTGCAGCAAGTTCAGAAATTTTCAGTTTGTTGCATCGATACGTGTGGGTTGGTTTTTCTGAAGTAGTTGTAAATTTTGTTTTGGTCAAGTTTCTTCCTGTGGGTCTGTTTATCTAAGTCTTCGTCATATCACAAACTGGCTGCTGAATCTTTTTACATAAAGTTTATGTTTCCAGATAGGCATGCCGCCAGTTTCTTCTTCTTTTTCTCCTTTTTGTTGCAATTTTTCACGCCTGTGGCAGCTGCATTCTTAACTCTTAGTGGTTCCCACCAGAATCTGAGTTCATGTTTGGGTTGTTTCTGGTTTTAATTTCGCATTCACTTCAATCATACATGGTTGCTTTCCCAATCTCTTGTGCTTTTAGTTTCTTTCCCACATTGTTGCTCCTATCCAAGTTGTAGGTTCTCTTTGGTTTCTTATTGTGCGGCAGATTTGCATGATGTCTTGCTAAATTTTTCTGTTTTTAGTGAAATTGGTTGTTTAGTTTGAATGTATGATGTTGATTTGGGAAAATTCGAATCAAGGCTGTGATTAAGAAATCTTAGTTTGAGAAGGAAAATGCAGCAGCCTGCTTGTTTTTGTTCCAGAAACTCTTGCTGAATTTCTTGTCTTTTCTTTTGCTGCGTTTTCATACTCATAATTTGCTGTTTTTCTTTTTTTTTTTCGCAACAGCCCACACAAGCTGGTTTTGGTCATTTTCTTTTGCTAGCTTAATCTGATGTTGAAGGGGAAGTGGGTGAGTGGTGTTGAGTTTGCATATTTGGGTTTTAAACACTTGAGCTAGGATCACAACCTTGTTGTAAAATGATCAACTCCAGTTGCCGAATGATTGCTGGACTTTTCTTCAAGCATTTGTGTGTTTTTCGTTCTATGTTTTGGTTTGTTTGGATGTTGGAATGGTGTGTCAGGTTGCTTAAATTAAATTTTGAGTGTTTGGGTTGAAAAGTTTTTGATCAAAAATTGGTTGAGATTGATAGCTGGTGCGGCATTGTTTGGATTGCAGAAAACTTCACCAGTAAATGTTCTTGTTGCAGACAATGTTTACGTAGCTTTGCATAGTTTTGCATGAAACTATTTTTGAAAATTGCACTTTGACCCCCCAAGTCTCCCTTTGTCGCATTGTGGCCAAATTACATTCCAGTCTTTTGCAATTGAGTCCTTAATTAATTTGCTTGACTTTTTCTTTGCCCCTGGACCCTTGAAGTTCCTAAAAGTGTTTGATTAGGTTTGAGTGCTTGGTTAGCGTTCGCAATTGAGTCCTTGGTAGCCTCAACTTTGCAATTCGATTGTTCGTTTGCTTTCATTTGTTTAGGTGGTACTTAATGCATGAATTTGTGAACTTTATGATCAAGCGAGCTTGTGTTTGCTTATTTTCTTTAATTTTCCCAAATAAAGTGGTATCTTGACCTTTTTATTGTTTTGAAGCCATTTTTCTTCATTTGGACAAACAGGGGAGGTATAACTTCTTTTATCCCTTTTTGGTATCTCCTATGTGATCCAACGTGCTAAGTGAGAATTGCATGTCTACTTTGCTTTCCTTACCTTTCTTTAATTCCTTTCTTTTGTTCCATTTACTTTTACTTTTTGTTAAATTATTCTTTTATGGGGTATGTGTACACCTCTTGGCTTGTAATAGATAGGGCTTGGAGGGCATTTGATGAAGACCTATTGAAGACGTGTGCCTAGCTAGCAAATGTAATAGGTCCATTAGTTTGATTGCTTGCTTTTGTGGCTATGTGTTAATTTGCTTTATTAGGCTTTTGCATCTAGTCGAGCATGCTAAGTGTTATGTGCTACATGTTTACGAGCGTTTGACATATCTACTCGCTTTCCATAGCCATGAATGAATGTGATGGATGAATGTACGTTTCCACTAGTCCAACACTAGTAGGAATTCATAGAATGGGTTAGTCCAACGCTAGACCCAATAGGCCGTCCCCCTTTTGTTAGTGCATATTTGCATGTTCACTACATTTCATGCATTTTTCTTAGTTTTTATCATTTGGCATGCTCCTCAAACCCCTTTTCCCCTCATTTTAGGATTTTTGCATTTCATACTAGTTATAGGGTACATTTGCTTGAGTGTCCCCTTTCGATAAGGGAAACGAGCGAGTGTGGCTACTCAATAGTCTTAGCACGCTAGTTCTTTTTTCTAATCCAAGGGAAAATCAAAGTCGTAAAGTTAGGAGTCCTTCCCGTGCCCGACTTGATGCATCCCCTTAGGGTCATACACTTGCATTCTTTTTTATATCACCTCTTCACCTTTTAACCACATTTTCTCATTTTTCTCAATCCACACTTTCTCAACATCTTTTTATCACTTATTTATTTCTTACCTCACAAATGGCACTCAAAATTACACTTATATGTATCTACTATTCTATTTTTCATCCATTTACACACGAACACCTTTATTTTATCACATTTGCACACTTGCACTTACCTTTTTTTTTACATTTCGCATCCTTCATACATTTTCACACTTGCACATATTTGAGTCTTCATTTGCATTTTCCTATGACCTCTATGAGATTCTTCCTATTGGCCATCACAAACCCATGTGATTGGGACCAAAAATCTCATAAGAGACATTTAGATTTAGGTTTGCATTTTCCTTTCCATTTCGCATTCATCTAGTCATATCCAACATGCGATACATACCTTGGGTAGAAAATTAGGAAACGTGGGGCTAAGTCACGCA